TTTAGCTTTTAGTTACCATTTAGCTTTTAGTTACCATTTAGCTTTTAGTTACCATTTAGCTTTTTTGGCTTTTAGGTAACTTTTGTGTGTTAATTTTCTGTATGTTGCGAAGGCTTTCATAAAATCATTAGAAGGCCACAGAGTCTGTGTGTCTGTCTGTGCATCCATGCATTTTTAAACATGGTGCACCCACACGAGGCATGTCATACCCCCCCACCCCCCGGCTGACCTTGAATCCTGGCTTTCTTCCCCTTTTTTTGGGTATTTTGAGCGGAGGGAGGGATTCTGGGTAGTGGTTAGGAAAATCCATCTTGTCGACGCTGCGGAGGGGGGGCCTCCCTCTCTTCCTGCCGGGTATCTTCCCCGTCTGACTTGGAATGAAAGATGGAGCCACCGCAGCCGACTGCATGTCACCGTTGTTGCCGTCTGATGTGTGTGCCGCCGCAGCAGGTCCACTCATCTGGAGCTGGAGACAAAGGAAACATCTACTGAGCTCTGGAGGAACACTTTGACACCTGCACTTCACTCAGGCAAATTCACCTTTTCAGGGGGGGCACAAGAGAGCAGCATTAGCATCAATGTGATGCAGAGTAACAGGAAGCGGAGTGTGTGACAGCAGCATTTAAATGCCAAGGACCTGCACTTTACTTCTCTTTTAGAGGAGAAACATTTACTGGAGCACAACACAAAGAGCAGCCATGCATGATCTGTGAAGGAAACGGCACCTCCATCCTGCACTGACAACACAAATAAACCTGACAGAGAGGGGGACTATACCTGCTGTCATATGGTGAAAGCCCAAGAGCCAAGACCTTTTGTCTCATATTCCAGAGGCCTACAGGCAACAATAAAACCCTCTCACTGCAGGAAAAGCCATCTTCAGTTTGCTGTATGCGGCTTTTTCCTTGTTCCTTTCTGTTGAACACACTGCTGCTGCTCGGCACAGGCTGCAGACATCTCATTAGACTAATGCATTCAGCAGTGGCAGAGTGGGGGTGGGGGGAAATTGACTTTTCCATGGCTACCCAGCTATGAATTACCATTATGATGACAGTGTTCACCCTAATCGTAAAGAAACTAAACAAGGAGAGGAACATGCCTTCCATGTATACGAAGCAGAAGCTGCAGTTTGTCTCCTGATATCTTCTGTTTTGAGGAGATCAGTCAAAGGATGGAGCATGTAAACAAACCGTTATCAATCATCGGCTGCACTCACCATCCAAACAGATGTGGCGGGTCCCTGCGCTCCGTGCCGTTTCCTCCCTGCCTCCAGCAGCTCAGCTCGTGTATGAAGGCGAGGCGGATTCCACTGTAATACTGTATGTGTGTGTGTAACAGACACTGACAGACAGTGACCGAGTGATAGTATGTGTGTGTGTGTGTGTGTGTGTGTGTGCATTAAAGGGACAGGGAGGGAGAGGGGCTCCTCTGTTGTCATGGAAACAAGCCTCTAAGCCCTAAACGCCCTGACAGTTGTGTGCCATGTTTTGTCTGCAGCTCAGAGCTGCTGTGGAGCTCCGATCATTAGATTTTATTTTATTTTCTGTGATGACCCACTTTACTGCATGTTTTAAAAAATAGATTCATTATTGAGCAGTTTATGAATATGTTAGAGTACTTCTCTGCAAAGTTTTGGTTTATTAAAAGGCCATTTCATTAATATTTTAACTGTAAATGTTAAATATTTGCAGGTTCAAGCGTTCTCAATCAGAGGCGTGGCTACGGGTGGGCCTGGCAGGGCCCGGGCCCACCCTCTTATTGTCCAGTGAAAAGGTCTAAAGTTTTTTTTTCTTTCTTTTTTGACAATTAATTAACAAGTTTAATTAAATTAGATCAAATTAACAATTAAATAACCTTACAAAGTTTTTTAAATATTGCTTCTGATAATAGAACATGCTATTGTCTTAACGTGGTGAAGGGGTTTAAGTACCTACGTGATCCTGGGGCTACGTTGTCTGAAGCATCAGCCCCTGATAGGGTCTCCCATGACAAACAGGCCTCAGGGGAGAGGTCAACAGAGATTCACAAGCCTTAATGAACAAACAACAAATATGCATCAGGAAGACTCCCACTGAAAAGAGAAACCAGGGCACATTTCTGGAGCCAGGGTTGTCGGGTCTCGCCAACCAGCGAGTTCCTGGTGATCAAGACTTGGCTCCCGAGGGTAGGACAAGCCCAAATAAGAGACAGGATGCCACCACCATGTGGACTGAACACTAGCAAGGGATGGACTCACCATCATCAGGTTCAGGATACAAGCAGGGCGGCAGGCAATGGAGGGTCTCTGGCCAACTCCTAGTCACATAAACTTGCTCTAGGGACATGGAATGGTGCCTCACTGGTGGGTACGGAGCCTGAGCTTGCGTATGAGGTTGAGCGATGCCAACTAAATATGGTTGGGTTCACCTTTACCAACAGCTAGGGCTCAGGAAACGTACTCCTGGAGAGTTTTTCGCATATTCTGATGGATGTCTTGGACGTGGAAGCCGAACGGGCCATGTGCAGGGCTCGGCTGTCCCTGAGGACTCCTGAAGCAGCTGACAGGTACAGGGTGGATAGAGGGGCTGCAGCTTTGGTGGTTGTGGATGCAAAAAATGCATGGGAAAGCATGGGATAAATTTGGGAAGGCCATGAAGAAGCACCTTGGGTTGACCTTGAGAAGGTTCTAGCAAACCGTTTGGTGACTCAGAAAAGAAAAGCAGGCTGGGTTTAGTGGGTGGTTGTGGGGATGAGTCCATTACCATGGCAGGGGTCACCAAGGTAGTCACAAAGTTCCCTGATGGTAGGGCAACAGGGCTCTGGATGTTGTGGGACTATCATGGTTGACACATGTCCAGTGTCACATGGAGGACTGGGACCACACCTGTGGAGTGGCAGACGGGGGTGGAGGTTCACATTTTTAAAAAGGGGGACCAGAGAGTGTATTCCAACTATCGTGGATTCACACTTCTCAAGAAAGTTTACTCCAAGGTGTTGGACAGGAGGCTCCAACCGATTGTTGAACCTTAGATTCAGAAAAAGAAGAGTGGTTTCCATCCTGTCATGGAAAAGTGGACCAGATCTTCACTCCTGCAGAGTTACAAGGAGGTCATGAGAGTCCAGTCTACGTGGTTTTGTGGACCTGAAGAAGGCTTATGGTCTGATGGCACAAAGTAGAGCTCGTTCTTGATGCAAGGCAGGACAAATACATCATACCAGGAGGGATCTCAAGGTGCTTTACAGAATACAGTATACTGTATAATATATAATATTCATTCAACCTTTATTTATTAACCTTTATTTTTATGATATCAGAGTCAGAGTCAGAGTCAGAGTTTCTTTATTGTCATTCGCACCTCATGTGGTACATGTGGTGGAGCGAAATTATGTACACAAGGTCCCAGTTACATCCAACAATAAAATGTAAAAGAAAAACAGTAATAACATCTAAGATATGAACTAAGAAAAACATCAACTAAATATACACTAAGCACTCATAACATAAAACATTGAACATCAGCACAAACATGAACATGAGTCTGTGAGCAGATGAGCACGCATGAACACATCAACATTTAAACAGATCAGCAGCAACATGAAACAGATCAGCAGCAACATGATATGGTTTTTCACAGTGATTATTCTAGTTAGAGATTCATGAGTCTAACAGCCTCAGGGTAGAAGCTGTTCCTCAGTCTAGTGGTTCTACACTTAATGCTCCTTAACCTCCTTCCTGAGGGGAGTGGGGCAAAAAGTGTGTGTGCTGGGTGAGTGGGGTCTTTCATGATGCAGGTGGCCCTCTTCCTGCATCTGGAGGTGTAGATGTCTGTGATGGTGGGGAGGCTGATTCCGACAGACTTCTGTGCAGCCTTCACCACTCTCTGCAAAGCTTTTCTTTCTGCAGCTGTGCAGCCTCCATGCCACACATTGATGCTCGAGCATCAATTACATGTAATATGTAATATAACACAGGCCCACATTAAACTCGATAAACTCTAGCTAAAGCTGTAAATCTATTAGTAGATTTAAGAATAAATAGATTACAAAGACAGTTTTACAATAATTCAGATGTATTTTTGTTTTAATGGGGTAAATGTAAATAAAGTGAAATTACTATAAACATTACAAAACCAAAAGTCACAGTCATAACGTTCTGAACCTGTTTTGATATTTGAGTGAAAGTTTGCTGAAGTAGCCCCAGCACAAAACAAACAAACAAACAAACAAACAAATAAATATAAAGTGGGAAACAAAGTGAATGTTGACTTGTGTCCCTGTTTCTGTTATCGAAGTTCTGTCGCCCCCTGCTGGACAAATCCAAAACTCCACCACGCTTCTGTTCCACACGTCTTTGTTAATAAAGTTTTATTGACAAACTTTCCAAACAAGATGGCGGCGCGCGTACCGCTGTCCATGAAGATGTCACCGTCGTCTTGGAAGGGCTTTCGGCTGCTTTTAACGGAACAGCTTCCCTCCAGGAGGCTCCAGAAGTCTTGGGCAGAGATCTGCAGGCGAGGTGAGCCGCCTCAGACCCGAGCCGCTCCTTGAATCACGTCTGTCTGAATGTTGGGACATCTGGCAGATTTTGTACAAAGTTTAGTGAGAACTGGACCATGTTTCCCCTTCTTTAGTTTTTAAATTGTTATTTCCGGTCGTGTAAAATGATAAATGATTGTGTCTTCTGCAGGTTTCTCGGCAGCAGCGGGACAGGCGGAGCAGCAGGAGAGCTTCTGCGGGCCTCTGGACCACTACGGCGGGCTGATCCGAGCCGGGAGCCTGCGGGAGGACGAGCATCAGAGAGCCGTGCTGCAGCAGCTGGACCGGCTGCACCGAGCCCTGAGAGGATACAGCAACACGCACACATCCATCTTCTCCAGGGTAAAACACGCGTCCTGTCTGGATGTCAACCGTGGGACGTTGTGGTCATGAAGTTCATCAGGTCTCTCTTGTAAAGGAGTCCCCGAGGCTCAGTGGTCTTAACCTGTAAAGGTTGAATGGATCATAACTTGATTCTTGTAGAAGCTAGATATGAAAAAGATGACTTGTACTTTAAAGACCTACACAAGTCTCCTTTTAGAAATTCAGGAGACAGAAATGAAGATGCTGAGGTTCTCCTTAGGAGAGACAAGGATGGAGAAGATCAGGAATGAGATCATCAGAGGTACAGCACAGGTTGAACAACTGGGAGATAAAGTTAGAGAGGACACACTGAGATGGTTTGGACATGTCCAGAGGAGGGACAGTGATTTGGACTTATCCACAGGAGGGACAGTGATTTGGACATATCCAGAGGAGGGACAGTG